TTATATTATATCAATCAAACTTGTCAAAGTACTTCCCCGCTTACAATGCCAAACTTCCACAATCAAAACTCTAGGAGTACTTCCCCCCTTAACAACGCCAAACCTCCTCGTGAGGCTCCGCATAGCCCAAAGGCCCCCCCACTCTCTGGCTAGACTTAGAATAGACCACCCCAGAAGGAGCGAGACTATTCGCGAACCATGTGAGAGTTTTGAAGCTTTTAACGGCCAAACAAGCCTTATCGCTTCCACCAATAATAACATGCCAAACCAAGCAAGAAAAGAAAATACCAACCTACCACTAGAAATGAAAAGCACTCTAGACTTAAAATAACAGAATAGAAATAGCAAAAACAAACTTCCAAACCCCAGTAGCGCAATTCTCCGTGGCGGCGGTTCCGGAGGGGGACGAAATAACCACATACTGTCTTCTTCCTTCACCCCCTGATCCACCCGCAACGATCATTTTGATGTAGAATATGAAACCAAAATTATGTCATTGAAATTATATAGGGAAAATAAATTTAACCACGTAATTATTACGATAAAGGGAAATTACTTTCCTTTTGAATAGAAATTTCCTGGGAAATGACTAATACATACAGAGTAATACATGTTGAATTTTTAGTATATGATCATATTTGTTTTTGGACGTTCGTGTGATTGAAAATGAAAAAAAAACTTGTCACATTAAAATGTTAAAGGACAAAAAACTCCAATTAAAAAAAGTGCATTTTGCACTACTTTGTTTGATTAAAAATAATAAACTTATTCAGGCATTATTGCACAACATTTGCTATATTTTATGCCAAAGTTAATGCATGACATTACAAAAATGTTATGAATTTATCGCTTTTTTTTATATTTAATAATTTTAGTTTTTTTGCTTATAATTAGATATATTTCACTTTATGGTAGTTTTACTACAATTCATGCCGGAGTTGTGGCACGACATTACAAAAATTGTTAGGAATTGGCAATTCTTTTATTTCTTTTTAGATTTGATATTTGCAATTTATGCCACTTTTAATGTACTACATTATTGCACTTCTTGTCATAATCACTGCATTCGTTGTTATATCATTGCACTTCTTGTCATAATCAATGCACTTCTTGTTATATTCAGTACATTAAACACAAATCACTCACAACGTTCACTACTCAATGTCCTAGAATTCACTACACACTGTTTTTAACCATCTTCAACTTATAGATCGTCTTTAACCTTGGGCTCGTCTTCAACCTCGACGGCCTTGGCTGAAAAATCTGACTCTTAGGAGCAGCGGTTCAACGATGTTCTTCGAGCACATTGCGAACCATAATTTCAAGAAATACAAAAAGAAGAAAAAGGAGAAGGAGAAGAAGAATGAGAAAAGAAAAGGATGAGGAGACCGGGGTGTTGTTAGATGGCGGGTGGTGCTGCTGCAGGACGGCGGGCGGTGCTGCTGCGGGCAAGATGACATGCGGTGGTGCCGCGGGACGGAGGGCGGTCGTGCGACTGGATGGCGGGCGGCGAGATGCGAGATGCGAGATGCGTGTGAGCAGTAGAAGACTAGAGGCGAGCCGTTACGCCTATGGTTTGAGAAAAGGAGTATAAAATTAGGGTTTTATAATAATAACTTAAGAACATATTGGTCTATAAAAACTATTTATTAATACATTAATTAAAGCTACGAGTGTAATATTTGGCGTCTCTCTAGGGCTTATTGCCGCTAGAGGGTATCTCTGCTATCTATTTTGATCGAGGAGCGGCTTTTCATCCTCGCGACAAGGAGATTGTCGACGGAGGGGTGCGGATGAATGGGCGAGGGACACTGATTGACGGAGGGAGCTTCATGATTGGAAGGGAGTTCTCGTCACTAGACTGTGGTTTCAGCGATCATAAAGACAGGAAGACAGGGAGGGGTAACGATCGTTTTGCTAAAAACGGAGTTATTTAATGGAATCAATCGTCAATCAGTACAAACAGATGACTATTGGTGAGGTAACAGAGGAATTGGATCTGGACGAGGAAGAGATTGGTGAAGTTGCGGCGGAAGAGGTTCGACAGACGTCCTCGGTGGTTGGTACTCTTCTCACAGATAGGAAAATCAAATTTTAGATCTTCAAGGACCTTATGGCTTCACTGTGGAGACCAGGTAAGGGAGTGTCCATCAAGGAGGTTGTCGTGAAAAAGGTATCTTTTTACTTTTAATCATAGTGTGGACTACATGAAACATGTTTTGGATGGTGGGTCGTGGCTTTTTGAAAGGAATTTGCTGATATAGAAAGAGATCAAACCTGATGATATTCCACTTAAAATTGATCTTGATGAGGTAGAATTCTGGATCCAAGTTCATAATGCTCTTTATAGCTCGATGAATCTAGGAACTGCAAGAAGAGTTGGTAATTTTATTGGTAGGTTTGTTAAATATGATGACAATCAGTTTGAGGAAAATTGGGGAGCTTATCTATGTGTTAGAGTTTGTATGATGTGCGCAAACCCTTGAAAAAGGAACATCTCTTAAGAAAGCAATAGTTGGGCACTGAGTTGACTTTAAATACAAAAAATTGCCCAATTTTTGTTTTATTTATGGGGTTATTGGATACTCTAACAAATTTTGCCCTTTAACATATGGGGACATATTAGTTTGGAGAAATCTTTTGAAGCTAGTCTGAGAGCAGGTAGTGAGGTGAAGATGAGTTCCACTGGAGGGAACACAAGTGGCTTGTGGAGGGCCAATGCAAGGCACATCGTAGTTGCTCTTCTAATGAGATTTCCAAGATGGGGGACGGCTCAGGAGGGCTGAGCTGGAAGGAATCTATGGCACGCACGTGGGATAACACTACTAAGGATGAGGACTTGGAGCATTTTGAGGAAGTGTCAAGAGAACATAAGAGAAGAAGAATTTGGGAAGATCAGGAGCACGAGGGACCAAGCAAGGAATCTAAGGCTGTTGACAAGCCAAAATGGGGAGGAGCTGGGCTCAGATGTCCAAGCCCACCGAAAAAGCAGATGCAAGGAGTTGGTTCGGGATGCGAGCTCGTCTTAGTGCTTTGGAAGATGCAGCAGAGATTTTATATTATTGTTTGTTTTCTTTTCTTAGGGATTGAGTGTTTTTTGTTTTTTCACCTTGTTATTTTTCTGCATTGTAAGACTTTAAGCTTGGATTCGGATGACAAGAGGTCTGCGTACCGTCTTTGGTTTAGTTGCATCCATAAATGTCTCAACGAGTTATACTGCTTCTCTTGAGGTGGTTAACTCTGAGTCTGGTTTGAGGGTCGCCGGTTGTCTGCGGTCATTTTGTCTTTTCAGCCCCTATCTGTAAACTATGATATCAATTTAAGCCACCTTTCCTTAAAAAAAATAATACATTAATGAAAAAATTGATAGTAATAATCCCAACTATTGACGGTCCGCTCATAATAATCCCAACTATCAATTATTTCAGAACAATCCCAACTTTAGGGACTTTACGCCAATAGTGGTCCCTATAAATAAATTTATGTAGTTTCTAAAGTGGATGATGAGTGATATAGCAAGTAATCCCTACAAATAATCTCAACTTTTAATTTTTACACTTAATTTCTATTTAAAATTCACTTTTTATAGGAGATAATATATGACCATGGACCATTATTGGCGGACGATCCATATAGTTGGAATTATACAAAAATGTTCAATAGTTGAGATTATTATCAGCGGACCGACAATAGTTGAGATTATTATTTTCAAATTTTCCTACATTAGTTAAATAGTACGGAATTAAATATTATTCAAGGGAAATAAATAGTAATGTCATAAATTGGGAAAGTGAAAGAGTTCTAAGCTTTTCATAATATTCAGGAAAATTATCTCTTTTTAGAATGATTAAATAAGTAATAAAGTTAATACTCCCTCCGTAACATATATATGTTCCCATTTGAAAAGGAGATAGATTAAGAATAGTGAAAGGGGATATAAATTATTGAGGGTATGATGGGAAGATAGTGAAATAATGTGTTGGAATGAAGGATAAATCCAAAAAAAGTAGGTGTAATAGTATATTATTTTTAAAATTATTGAGGGTATGATTGGAAGATTATGAAATGGGAAGATATGAATGTTACATCCAAAAAAGGAAAGTGGGAAGATATAAATGTTACGGAGGGAGTAAAATGTTGTGAGATACTTCGTATATGCGACTATGCGAGAGCATGTCTTTAATTTGAAGCCCAATGAAGAATCACGTTGCGCGACAGGCCCGACAAGGCTTCTCCACGCTCTTCTGAAAACCAACAAAATTTTCACTTCAATTACCAGATGCTTAACCGCTGTTCACCTATGAAGCACGGATACTTCCCTAGGGTAGCGTATCGGCGTATCGGATACGTTCCCGTATCCGATACTCTAGGATACCCGTACCGTACGTTCCCGGGTCATATCTGCAATTTTTAAAAGTTTCCATTTTTTTTGTAATTTTTTAAAAGTTTCCGATACTTGTATCCTGACAGATACCCGTATCAACCATTTTTTTTAAAAAAATACCAAAATTTACTTAATAAAATTCCAAAAAAAAAAAAACGAAAATCTGAAACTACATTTTACTTGGTAATCAAATAATGGGCCTATATAGCTATATCCGAATTAAGTCATTAACTCATACTCCGAAGTGGGTACTTGCACTTTTAATTTCAAGATTGTAGTTGTTTGACTTATTTCACATTTTAAATTAATGACTTATTGACTACATTTATATTTCGAGATACACTAGTGTATATGAGAAATATTATGAATTTATTACTAAGTATTTTGAAAAAGGAAAATGCTTCAATGCAATGAATGAGTAGACATCATAGGATATTATATGTATATGTATATATATATATATATATATATATATTCAAAAAAAATCTATTTTTAATATTTATAAATAGACCCCTATAACTTTTAATATTTGTAAATACACCCTCATAACTTTTAATATTTATAAATATGGCCCCGTATCCGTATCCTACTTTTTTTTGTTTTGACGTATCCCCGTACCCGTTTCCGCTTTTCCGCGTACCAGTATCGGTGCTACATAGCTGTTCACTAAACCTTCTCCAGTTCTCCTTCTGTAGGGTTTTTCATCCTTCTCTCGAGCACTAAAAATGACTAAGCTGAGGAAGCTGAATCGCCCAACTGGTCATCGAATGTCCATGCTCAGGTTATTTTCTAACATAAATTCTTCATTTTTTTAATCAACGGGCTTTGTTCTTTTTCCTTTCCTGAGTAATAAGTTTTCAACGGCTTACAGGACAATGGTGTCGCAGTTAGTCAAGCATGAGCGTATAGAGACCACTGTCGCTAAAGTATTCTTATTTTGCTCAATCTCTTCACATTTCCCGTATCATTTTCAGAATGAAGTAGTTGCGATTGGATCTGATTCCCCCTGTTATCCTATTTCGTATAAAAATGCAAAAGAACTTTCTTTAATAGAATTACATAAGTCATGCATTATGGTTTAGTTGTCTTACTGATTAGTTACTAAGATTATAGACAAAATTTTCCTTTTTCGTTATTGTTTGTGTGTGTGTGTGGGGGGGGGGGGGCAGTCTAACCAGGTACTGGGTGCGACTAATTGTGAAACCTTAATTCTATTATTCTTATCATCTTATGGCTTATTGTAGGCTAAGGAAGTCCGTAGGCTTGCTGATAATATGGTGCAGCTTGGAAAAGAGGTATGCAATTATGCATGATGATCTAGTGATTGATTTAAAGTGTATTAGGTCATTTTTGATAATTAATTTGTTCAAATGGGGTTAGGACTTAGGAGTGCATTCATTGGTACCTAAACATTTTCACATTCTAGATCACTCATTATATTGATCAGTTTCAAGGGATTGGAATGTGATAATATCTTTAAAAGTTAGGAAGTTGTATTTGAGGGGTGACACAATGCACCCTTAACCTAAGTAGCTAAACCACTACTCGGTGGCAACTTGGACAAGGGCTGAGTAGCGAGTACAGCCGACTGAGCTGAGCACTCAGGTTACTCGGGCCTGTATTAATTAAATTTGGAAACATAAATGCCCCCTAAAAATACCTACCAGTTATTTGTAAATTCCACAGTATCCAAGTTTAGCTTTAATTTTTCTCATTTAACCCCCTAAAAATCAATTTACTGCCTGTGGAGTAACTCGATGAGTCTACCTTGTCACCGAGTAGAAAAATGGAACAAATGAACAATGTGTCAAAGTAGTGAAAGTACTAATCAACAAAGCCCTACCCCTACTAGTGAGTACTCGGCGATTGGATAACATAACCAGTTAATAGGAAGTAAGAAACCGTGGTCTAGAGACTCTAGATTAGAGTACTTAATGGGACTAGCACATGTTTCTTTTTCTAATATCCTTTCTTTTTATGTTCATTTTGGAACCCGTTAAATGGTCATCATCATTTCATCATTTTCATATACCCCAGTGCCGCAAAGGCTCCCACCTACGGTGGGGTAAGGGGGGTCAGATGTACACAGTCTTACCCCTGTACTAAAGCACAGAGAGACTGTTTCCGGATGACCCATGGAAAATGCTATTTGAAGGAAATAAATGCTTAGGAAAATGAATTTTTGATGTTTGCATTTACATTAGGAAATGAAAATCTGAAAATCAAATTTGGTAATAACTTTTTCTGATTCAACTTATTTAGGTTTGTTAGTGTCAATATAATAGATACGCATAGGTAAAATAACTTGGAAGTTCTAACAATATCTGAAACTGGTGTATTTAGCTTGAAACGTTTTCACTTTTCCATTTTCTTTCAAATTTTATTCCCTTTGAGATCAGCTATCGATTTATCTTCTTAGTGTCTTTCTGTATCATTTTCTGACATCCATACAGACCCTAGCAGGTTTATGGTTTTCCATGATGGGCAATCATCTTCCTCTAGTATTGGAAAATGTCCATATTTTTATAAGATGTTTCTTCATTTGGAAGATTACACGAAACTAAATAATGTTTTGAGTACCATCTCACCAAATTCATTAGTTCCTGTCTAGTGAAGGATCTAGTCATCTAACAATAAACAATTGCCTCCAGCTCAAATTCAACATGAAGGATCTAGTCTTTGATGCCATCATAGAAAAACCAGTTGTAATATTCTTATTTGGAATACTAATTATTTTCTTATTCACTGTGGCATGTTCGCATCCAAGATAATTCCATGTAAAGAAATTGTTATTTTCTAATTATTTTCTTAATCACTGTGGTATGGTTGACCGATCAGACTGCGCTTTTATTGAAGAGCCCTAAAAAGTGATGCTTTTACAGCTTAAATGAAGTGACCAAAAGTGACACTTTCTCATGCGCTGTCGCTTAATGTTTACTACTTCCAATAAAAAAAAATTGCCATTGGGCTTTATTGGTTAATTGTGGTAAACTTTGGAAACTGATTTTAATGAGCGTACTTTTGTGAAAGGTATAAGATTTATGCTTTTATTTGAGTATTTTTAACAAATGTATGATTGCTGAAAGTTTAACAAATTCACTAATAAAGTCCAAGATGTTGAAGTTTTGTGGGATAGATTTTTTTTTTCATTTGTCACCCTATGTTATATGAATAAGGGCTTCATTTTTTCTGTGCATAGATGTTTCATTATCCTGGATTTCGCACTTTGATATACACATTATCCAATATAATGTTCTCAACTTTCTTTAATAGTTTAATGAGATATGTATTATATCACTTCCTCTGTGGAACTATCTTATCCAGCTCAAACTTTGCAGGGTACTCTGTGTGCTGCAAGGCGTGCAGCTGGCTTTGTGCGCGGTGATGATGTTCTTCACAAGCTGTTTACTGAACTGGCATATAGATACAGGTGAATGTATATAGATTTTTAAATTGCCACTGGCTCTCGTTTTATATTACTTTATTTTTATTAATGTTTTGCTGGGGTGCCATAACTTCTCCATAGCCGTAACTTGCAGAGAAAGAGCTGGTGGATATACAAGATTGTTAAGAACACGTATTCGAGTTGGTGATGCTGCTCCTATGGCATATATTGAGTGAGTTTTTTCTACCTTATGTACACATGTTGTATAATAAATAACCCAAACTAATTGTATTTTTGTAAACTGAGGATAACAAACTGGATATCACGTCCAGGTTTGCAAATTCGAGTTTTCTAAACATGTTTACTGAAAAGTTGCCACCATCCCAAACCAGTCTTAGTTTTAGCTGACAAATTTCTATCTTACCCTTTATAGGTTCATTGACAGGGTAAATGAACTTAGACAATCAAAACCACCCACCCCACAGCCACCACAAAGACCAGCCATGGACCCATGGACAAAGTCTCGGCTCTGCAGGCAGTTCGCACCCCCTAAAGAGGAGAAAAGTTCTGACTCTGAGGGTTGAAAAATATTAAGTTACATATCAAATACATGGAAGAATTTCTCTTCTCTTGCAGTTTGTATCTCCAAATCTGTTACTCCCTTCTTTCCAACATGTAAGTTACACCGGTGCTTGCACGCTTTTTACGAAAATAAAGAACATTGTTTTTATTTTAGAATTGTAATCTTGTAGATGTCAGAAAGATTGGTATGAGTACTGGAAAAGTAACAGATGAAATTATAGACAAGTTGATTAACTGAAAATGTAGAAAGCTAGTGTAGCTAAAACAGATGGTGCTTGTGGGGCTGATGTGGACATGGTTTCGAGTGGTTACAGAAACCGTTACCAGAAGTGCTAGGTCCTGGCCGGTAGGTGGACATGGCTGATTTTGGCTAGGTTTGGGGTTTTGGAGGCCTTTCCGATCCCCTATAACGTAAATTGGTGAAATTGGTCTGGTTCTAGGTAGGGCACATGTGGTTCTAGATAATTTTTTTTATTTTAGATCGTCTCTTCTCCGATTTCTTGGCCTGTAACAAAACCGTTGCTGGATTGGTTGATATGGTCTTATTTGGAAGAATGCATTTAAATTGATTCTGGTTTTGAATTAGAAAAATGGTTTAGTTTGTGTAGAAAATCCCGGCCGTCCCAGTATGAAACTAGTGTCCATATCGAGTTTAGGTATCGCTTTTGGAATCAGATCAGGCTGTTGGGCTTTGAACACATTTTATTAAGCACTGTTAATAAAAATAGGATGCATTACAATTAGTTTGAGTAGCATTCTAATCGTGATTTTTTCTTTTCTAGCTTGGGGCCGTTGGGGGTAATGTTTTTCTCTTCAACTGCCGATGAATCATGACTTGATTCTTTCGTATTTTATAAGCCAATTCCAATGTCGGAGACTCGGAGTACCGCGCAAACTGATAACCTGATTGATGTCATTTTTATCACAACAATTTTAGACAAGCACAAACTATACAAAATGATTGGTGTAAATAATTACTCTCTACATATATTTTAAATGTGTGTATATGTGTGTGTGTATTATTACATCAAAATGTATCTAATAATTTGTCGAATAATCCACGAGTACTAGGGATGGACTCGGTTCGGGCCGGGCCGGGCCTGGTTCGGGCCTTGAACCGGCTGGGCCTCGGTTCAGGGTATGGGAGGCCTGGAACCGGCCCGGGTAAACCCGGGTCCGGTTCGGGCGGGGTCACCCGCCCGGTTCACAGGCCGCGCCGCCCGCCGGGCCGGGCCTTATAATTTTTTTTTAAAATTATATATTATATTATTATAATAATTCTTATTAAAAACAAAATTCAAGTGCATTTATTTGAAATAGGAAGTACATTTGAGAACTGAGAAAACAATAACAATATGAAATACATTTTCTAATAAATATCAATTGGGATATCCGCCACCGTTGGTTGTTGTTTTACCTTTGTCACATGACTTCATATGTTTTATTGGCATCCCGACTCTCTGTGAACGTTCCAAGCAACACTCTTTCTTGCACCACTTGCAAGTTGCCCACCACAGTCCGGTCTTCGGGTCCTTCCACTTATCAAAATTGTTTTGCATAACAGAAGAATTACTTTCCATCTTTAAAATGGTAGATGTATAAGTAGAAATGTAGGATAATAAGAGAAGATGAAGATGGAGAAGAGTTGGGAAGAGTTTGATAAGAGGTGTAGAAAAATAGTAGAAAATAGATTTATTTATAGATTTTTTTGAACCCCACCCCCACACCACCACCCCCGGGACCCCCCTGCCCCCCACCCTAAGCCCCAACGGCTATATAGCCGTTTGGGAGCAATTTTGTATTTCAAAATGTTTTTAATTATTTTTTTGAAAATTATACATATTGTAAAATAAGTTAATTAATTTAATGAATTAAGTAAAACTATTTTTACTTAGAAAAGTAATTTGATTTATAATTTACAAATGTTACAAAATAGGTGTATAAGTATTTAAACAAATTACATATTGAAGTTGTAACTTGTATGTTTGTAACCAATTAATTAATTTACATATTAATATTACATATTTTAATTTAAAAACAGCCTTTCGATTTTACAAAAATAATTTCAAGTTGTAAGTTATAAGTTTGTAACCAATTAATTAATTTGAGAAGTGCTACATATGAAAAAATAAACGCATATTTATTTGAAATATGAAGTACAAGTTTACAAATTAATTTTATTGAATTGAATATTGAATACATTTTTTTTGAGAATTATTGAATTGATGTACACAATAATATAAAATATTTCAAGTATATGTATTTCAAATAAGAAGTACAATTGGGAATTAGGATGCATTTAAAAAATGTAGTACATTTTGTAATAAAAAATCAATCGGAATCTCCGTCTTTGGTGGTTGTTTCCTCCATAAAGTGGCGGGTGGGAGCGATGGTCATTTCTTGAGTTCTTCGTTGGGCCTTCAACCAATCGTGGAAGCAAACTAGCGTCTCAAGAGAGCTCGGGCTCAACCTCGTTCTATAATCGGTTAGGACGTTGCCGGCCGCACTAAATTCTTGTTCCACGGCAACTGTTGATATCGGCATTGCTAGCACTTGCTTAGCCATCTTTGATAAAACCGGGAACGTTCTTTCATTTTCCTTCCACCACTTAAGAACGTCAAAGTCATCCCCAACTTCATAATCAACATTCAATGTTAGATACAAAGAAAGCTCGTTAACTGAGCTTTGTTCAGTAGCGGGAGTTGCTCTACTTTTTTTCATAAGAGAATCAAATGCAGATTTTAAAAGTGATTTTCCTTTAGATGAAGAAGATGTTCACGGCATGGGAGGGGGTGCATTACCATACTGTGCATGAAATTCATTATACAATTGATGAAATAAATTACTAACCTCGTTGTATTCTTGTTTAGGGTCGATGGGATTATCATCGAACTCTTGAGTTGAAAAAAAAAACAAGCATAATAGTAATCTATACAACTTGGCAACGAGGCAAGTTTATAACGAGGATCAAGAACAAATGCAATACCATATATATGCGGAACATGTGAATAATATTTTAAAAACTTTTGTTTCATGAAATCACAAAAATAACTAACGTAAGCGGCATCAGAAAATTCTAAAAAAGCGCCGGCGAGATTAACAGCTTCAACAAAAAATTCGTTTGCGGTAGCTTTATAAATATGACTAAAAGTTTGAGTTGCGTTATTAAAATATACCAAAACATTAACAATTTTTTCACAAGTGTCGATGTCAGCCGGATTAATAATATAGTTACAAGTTTGTCTTAAAAAGCAGGAAAATGTTCTTTATATCTAATAAGTACTTGAATTAAGTTATAAGTAGTATTCCAACGAATAGACAAATATTTAGGAAAAGCACAATAATTGACATGTCTTTCCTTCAAATATTGCCAACATTGCATTTTTAGTGGAGTGTTAGCCCAAATCAATTTAATTCCCCCCTTCACTACCTCCAAAGCATTTCCTAATGCCGCTAATCCATCTTGTACACACAAATTTAGAATATGACATGCACAACGTTGATGAAAAAATCTACCCATCAATGTAGAAGCACCACACAATTCACGCAATCTAGGTATAGCAGCTGTATTATTACTAGCATTATCAAAACCTACAGCAAACACCTTACCAAGCAAATTATACTCAATTAAAATACGCTCAATGAGAATATAAATATTATCAACAGTGTGACGATAATTGAATTCACGAAAAGCAAGAACACGTTTATGCATATTCCAATCATCATCAATATAATGTGCAGTAAGACCCAAATAATATAAATGATGATAAGTATCCTCCCATATATCGCTACAAATACTAACACGTCCATTAAAGTTTGCGAAAAATGTTTGTAAATTTTCTTTTTTGAAGTTATATTGCCTTATAACTTCTTTTTTAATCGTTTTGCGACTATAATTTCTAAATTGAGGGTTTAAAGTGCCTTGAGCATAATCTCTTAAAGCAAGACTTTCGGAAAAAATATAGGGTAATTTTATTCAACAATTAAATGAGACATACCAGTCAAATGTTTTTTATCATCATAGGAGAAATTACCAAAGGGTTGAGAATTTGCAGCAAACCTCGATATTTGTGTTTGCTTCCCCTTGCCCTTGTCTATTTTCGCACACTCCACAAAATGGGCGGACTTAAGATGCCTTGTGAGACTCCCGTATCCGCCAGAAGTTCCCAAGCTATACCACAAAATGGGCGGACTTAAGATGCGTACCATTTTTCGGTATTTTTGTCTTTCCTTTTTGTAAAATTGTTTTCAATAATAGGAGATTTAAATTTCTTACCAGTTTGGGTTGAACCGCCCTCGTCCTTCAACTCTTGCTCATCATCCGGGGAGCCGTGAGTCCCGTCGCCCCCCGCGTCCTCCTCCGCATCGTCATCATCGAGCTCCTCTTCATCAATGGTTGTCGGGATGTGTTGTTCTTGTGCAAAGCGTGGATCATTTTGGGACAATAGGTTTTGTAGATGCTCGTCGGACATCATCATATCATCTCTCCGTTGGTAATCCGTTTCAAAGTCATCTCGACTTTGAAAAGAAGACTCGGCCCGCGCTTTACCTTTGTCTTTGCGTGAAGTAGGACGAGTCGCCGCAATCTCCCTCTTGCGGTTGCGTTGGAGATTACCCACATCTACTGAATGCCTACCACGCTCCATCTTTAAAATTGAACAAATATTAAATGATATCAAATATTATATATGAGTACAATAGTAATAATAAAATGTGACTAAGAAAACTATAGCAAATTCGAACTAAAATATGAGTATATTTTAGTGTAACAATTTGTTTTCCTTGACAAAAAAATCAAACTACTTTTAATTAATACTTTAATGAGAAATGTAGCAATTAACTAATATGAGAAATGTAAAAATTAACTAGTTTTTTTTAACTTTGATGAGCAATGTAGCAATTAACTAATATTAATATGACAAATGTAACAATTAAGTAGTTTAACTAATATTAATATGACAAATGTAAAAATTAACTAGTTTTTTTTTACTTTAATGAGTAATGTAGTAATTAACTAATATTAATATGACTAATGTAACAATTAAGTAGTTTAACTAGTTTTTAAAATGAGAAATGTAGAAATTAACTACTTTTTTTTTAATTTAATGAGCAATGTAGCAATTAACTAATATTAATATGACAAATGTAACAATTAACTACTTTAACTAATATTAATATGACAAATGTAAAAATTTAATACGTTTTTTATTTAATGAGAAATGTAGCAATTAAATAAGTAACTAGTTTAACTAATGTTAAATGATAAATGATATGTAACAAGTAACTATTTTTTTTCTTTAAAGAGAAATGTAGAGAAATGTAACAATTAACTAATTTAATAGATAAATGAGAAGTCTAACAATTAACTACTTTTATAAAATGTATGAATGTGTATAAGTCTATATAGTTTATATAACTTGTAAATGTATTATAAGTAATATATAATATAATGTTTATAGTATATAATATATAAGTATATTACTATAAGATGAGTAATACACTTATACTTAATAGTTTAATATATATATATATATATATATATATATATATATATATATATATATATA